GACCATGGGGAAAAGGTGGAAGTCAGGTGCCCAAAGGGCTGGTGCTGAGGGGAAACTATTTTAGTGCATTTACTAATGAGTTGGAAGAGCCAGAGAAAAGGGCTAAATGGTAGAAGCTGCTGAATGTGCAGAATTATTTCAGTTAAATGCTCAGGGAAGAAAAATACTGTCTTTTCTGTGATTATTTTCTCCCTTGCAAGACAGTTTTATCTAGTGAAAAATATTGAGACAGTCTTTGGTGCGGAGACCACACACTTCGTCCCCTTGTTTGTGTCTGAGGAAGTATAGCACACTGTGAAGAGTTGAGAATGTGGACTGAAGGATTATGGTGGCTAATTCAGAGGTGATATCTCTAGAACGCACACTGCTCTGAGTTCAGGCTCAGTGAGAATGTCCCCCTGGATGGGACTCTTCCAAAGAAGAGAGGTCAAGAATTAATGTGATTTTCAGTTCCCAAATATTTCTATCACCCCCGAGGGCTTCCTTCCCCGAGGGTCTGGGTCCCTGGATCTAAATTTCAGTTGTGAAAATGATCAGTTCTAGGGTCTGGGGCACGTTGCAGATTTTTTATTTATCTCAGTTTCTTAATTTTTGTAATAAAAGAGCCTTTTTATTTATTTTGTGTGTGTGCAGGGCAGGGAGGAGGTATGTATTCCACAGCCTGCATTAATGTCTCAGGACTTTTGAGAGTTGGTTCTGTCCTTCGACCACTCAAGGCAGAGACTCTGGAGGCTAGCAGAGGGCAGATCTGTTTGGGGAGCAGACCTGCTCAGACACAGCAGCCCCAAAAGCAAGAGGTGCTGTAGGCAGAGATTCTTGGTGTTTGTGGCTCTATTCTCTTTGCCATCTGTAGGCAGACTTACCCATGGTGCCCAGTCCTCGTTGGGGTGTGTGCTCAGTGTGGATGGACAAACTCCTGCAGACTTTGTGGTAATGTGCAGAACTCATAGGCTTCTGCACTAAGTGTAAATAAGATTGAATTATGCATAGTAAAAACTGAACTAACGTTCTTTATTAGAAATGCACTTGAATATGAGATGCCATGTGGCAAGATGCAACAAACTAGATATGTACTGATTGTCTGTCTGTTTTCACACCACGCATAGAAAGATGCCAATGTTGTTGGGCCATAGTTATGGCTAGGTACTTAATGGCGTTTGCCACCAAGCCTAGCAATCTGAGCTCTATTCTCTGAATCAACATATAGGAGAAAACCAACGGCAACTCCTGCAAGCTGTCCTCTGACACCTGCATGCATCAATGTTACACACACACACACACACACACACACACACACAACACATTTCTTTTTAAAATATAAAAAAACAGGAAAATATTGTTGTAGAGGGAAGGTCATCCAATGTTAGCACTGTTTTCCCCTGAGTGTGTTGACGCTGTGCTTTTTTTTTTATTTATTTTTTATTTTATTTTTGTATTGTCAAGATATCTGGACTGGCACACATATAAAGCAACAACGACACCTCTTTTCTAAATGCAGCCTGGCCTGTACAGGTTGCATCCTATTTCCTTCTGGGTTAGAGAGCATCACACTCCACCACTGAACCCCCAAACAGCTGCCCTCTCTCCACCATACTGAATCTGCATCACAGGGCTTCTGTGACATCCATGAGTACTGACAGCTGTCACTCTCAATTCTAGCTCCAGCCAGGACCTTGCTCCTGAACTCCAACAGTGACAAAGACAGATCTCGGTGGCCGGGGAGCCTTCACGGTTGACTCTGAAGGACAAAGCTGGGGAGACCTCTCACTTGTTACTCCTCATGCTTCATGGGCTCGGTGTCAAACTGTCAACCCTCTTCCTTCCAGCATCCGCCAACGCCCAAGTGGTGGCTTGCTTGCTTGGCTTTAATCCAGGACTCCGCTGTGTCACCACAGTGAGTTTCCAGCGGGGGAGGACTTGATAGGATCCCTTGGAGAGACAGCTTGGAGGGTGGGCAGAGGGAAGCCTGGGCCCTGGACCTCCCCCAGCTTCCCCTGACAGTTATTTTAACTCTGCAGGCCTACACAGAAATGTTTGCATTTTTCCTACTTTTTAAAAACCCACCTCAATCTTACTTAGTAAAACAAACTAAACTTTAAAAGAACACCTTCTCCAGGTTGCAGAAATCTCATTCCCCTAACCCCCTATTAATTTTTCCTGAAAGATGATATACAACTCAGAACTCATTAGCATCCGAGGATAATTAGCCAGTAGCTTCCTTCTGTGGCTGCTCCTGCTTACACAGGGTTCTGTCTCACCTTAGCAGGAACTATTTGTTGATTTTGACTAATATAAATGACAGATCTTGGAAGTCCTTTCTGACTTGTGATACTTAGGATGGCTGCCTAAAACCCGTTATAAAGTGACCTTTCCACTGAATTTTGTAGGGAGATGAAAGGCATGCATTCAATGGGTGTCAATTTCTGCCCATGTAGGCAGATCCCTTTAAAGTGCTGACCAATAAGTAGACATGTCCACCACACCCCACATCTCCTAGGTGGGCAGCTTCAAATCAAAGAGGGCGGGTCTCCTCACTTCCTACCCTCAGGAAATGCTGCCTGGCTTGTTGGTAGCATCCTCCTCTAAGACCTTTGCAGTTTCTGTCTCTTTGACACAACAGCAACCTTTACAGGAATGGTCATTGGTAGATCCTGCTTAAATAATCGGGAATCCAGGGTGCCCAAGAGACCTTCTCATATACACAGGGGTATAAAGTTGTTGCTGGATTATATGGGGGTGGAGGCAAGCCTGTGCTGGAGCCATTGAAACAAGAATCTGAAGGAGGAATTAAGCTTCCTTGAGCCTCCTCATAGCAATTAGCCAGTGGGAGTTGTCTTTTCTATGTTACCTAGACTCCAGCACAAAGCCTGGTGCAGAAATGTGGCTCAAAGCTTAGAGATGCTTTAGTGGAGTTGAGCCTGTGCAGGTGACAGCAAAAGTGTACGGCCATTTGGAGGCTCGTTGACTGCCTTCTCTTTAAAGTCGGGGAGTTCCCAACGTGTCGAGGCTTTTGAGCACCAAACAGCCCAGTGAGAGACACAACTTTTCGTTAAGTTGACTAGTATAAGCACTGTGTGAGAAGGGGTGAGGGAATCCCCCAGACTGTGGAGTATCCAGATTTGGGTTGACACCCTTTCTTTATTCTAGGAGCGGAAGGTGCCACAGGTATAAAGTTTGGCTTTGCTGAGAGCAGAAACAACAAATATAGGGCCACTAGGTGTCTTCTGTTTCCCCAGATCATACCAGGAAGAGGTGAACAAAGCCTGCTCTGCTTCTCTAAGTACAGTTTCGGGGGGCCTGTAGTCTGCCTAGCAGCCCGCGCAACACATCAATTTGACTGTGAGCCCACACAGCATCACTTGTGTGCATAAAGAGCCATATGAGAGCAGGCTCCAGTGGATGCTACCGGTGCTCTAATCTGCAAAGCTTTGGGGTTGCGTGTGGGAAATAATCTTGTCAGTACTTTGGCATCAAAGAAAGAGAGAAACCCGCTAATTGTAAGTGGTTCGGGTGGAGAAAAGTAGTGCCAGCTATGTAAATCAGCATATGCTGAGATCTAAAAGAAACCATGCCAGGCCAGGAGGAAGTCAGGCAAACCAAGAGAATGAGGAAGCAACCCAGAAACTGATCGGAAGTACTTTGGTGCTTCTGTTTCTACCGGGAGGGGCTGCTAAGGAGGTGAGGAATGATGAGTAGTGCCTGACCTAGGAGTGATGTAGCTTTGGATGTAGCTTGGTGTGCTGCACTCCCTCCCAAGTCAGGCCGGCTTCCTAGGCAAGCTCTTTACTGCACAGATCCTTCTTCTTGGTACTTCAAGTTTGGTCAAGTGCTTCTAAGCAGGGCTGGATCTTACAGATGGATGCCAAGGGTTTAGGGTTCATTAATATGTGGAAATCTGTGCCCCGCTGTCTGCACAGCCCAGGGCTTGACTGGGGCTGGAATTTGCTACCAACTAATGTCAGAGAATCTCAAGCAGGACACCAGTTCTCTGCTCAAGCTGGGTCAGCACAGTGGCTAGAACCAGCGCCGCCTGGCGGATACTGCGTGTGACCAGCGCGGAGCCAGGCTCCTTCAGCAGGCACGGGCTGACGGGGAGCAAGATTTCTGCCTGCAGTGGCCAAGCAGCTTGTGGCGAAGCATGAAGGAGCTCAGTCCTGTGCCGGGAGGGATTAAAGAGACTTTACCGAGGCCGGGCCCTCTAGATGAGTAGACATCTTGTGCAAGGACCCCATGACCTCTTGTCTTGAGCATTGCACCAGAGTGAGGGGAGAGGTTGGGGGGTCCCAGGGTTAAAGCAGAGGCAGAGGAGGGCGCTGAAGCCAGCAGATATCAGGCGGAAAGGACGTTAGATTCAGTACCAAAAATTCGGATTTCAGGGCACTGTGATCCTTTTTAGGGACCTAGGAAAATATTTTTCATATTTAACCAAGAGAGAAATCAATCCGTTTCTAGAAGGGTCCCGGGCCCACCTGGCGTCAGCGTCTGCAGTCTGGTATTCTCTCTGGGCCCTGCGCCTTAGACTCACTTTAAACCAGGTAGATCGCATTGGCTCCCCTAGCTCCGTGGTTGGCGGACTTGCCCGGCTCTGGCGTCTCCACCTCGGCTTCATCTCGCCGTTAGGACCGCAGCGCTGAGCCTGGAGCCCTTGGCCCCGCTGTGCGCACCTTCAGCTAGAACTATAGGCTACAAGCAGCGACAACCGAGTGGGCTGGGGACTGCAGTAGAGGAATCAGCCGGCCGGGTTGGGCGCGCCCCTCGGTCCCGCGTGGTGTCACCGCCTCGGGGGTCCTGGCCTGGGGGCGGGGACTGGGGCCCCCGCTGGGCCCGGGGGCGGCGCAGGCAGAGAGGGCGCAGGCAGGAGGAGGGGCTCCCGTGCGGGGCAGGGGCGGAGCGAGAAACCGCGCCGCGCTACCAAGTGAGTTCGCTCCGAAGCCCGCGCCGCCGCCGGCCCGCACCTCGGGCGCCCGCCGCCCCCGCCGCCGCCCGCGCGGGGGTGTAGGATGCTGGCGGGCGCCAGGCTCCAGCGGCGGCGGCGGCAGCTGCAGCAGCCTCAGCAGTCCCGGCGGCGGCAGGCTTTCCCGTGGCCGATGAATGCAGACCCGCCGCCACCGCCCTGGGTTTGGATGGTCCCTGGCTCCACCGGGCTGCTCCGGCTCGGCGCCGGGGTCGCGCCCCCGCCGGTGCTACTGGCTTCGGCGCAGCCCGCCGCCGCCCCGCTGCTTGCGCGGTTGCCGGGCTGGCCAGCCCCGGGCGAGCCCCTGCTGCCTCTGCTGCCGCTGCCCTCTGCGCCAGACCACGCCGTGCACCATTATCCCCTGCTCCCCGGACAGGTAACGTCCCGGCTCCGATCCCCACTCAGGCTCAGGATTATGGGTCCCTTCCTTTCCCGGGGCTGGGTTGGCGCTCCTCCCTTCCCAGGTGGTTTTCGTTTTCCACACCATCTGGACGTAGCCTCGCAGTCATACATTGAAAAGAAAGTTCATGCTTCGACGCCCGGTTTTGCCTTGGCAGTTTTTTTATTTATATTATTATTGTTATTTTTTGATATTTCCCCCCTGGCTTTCATCAGAGCGGCTTAGACCAGAGAGCCTGGACCCAACTTTCCCCCGGCGCCGGGCGCTGTCCAGAGCGCGGTGCTGAAGTCGCCGCCGCGTATCACAGCGCGGCAACCAACTATCGTGGCTGCCATCGCCTCGAAGTTAATACTTTTACAGTCTCCGCCAGACTAGAAGGCAAGCTGCGGATCAATAGCTATTTCTGATTCTGATCTGGTCCCCCTACTCCTTCACATAGATTCAAGGCAGGGCTTAAGAGAATTCCAGCCACGGAAGGCAGCCTGGAAATCCTGCCTTGAAAATGTTTTGGGGGGTGGGGATTTCCTCTCCTGCCATTTGAATTCCCTTAAGCCAGATTCCACTTTAAAAGAGTTTGGCATGCAGAGCCTGGAACAGCAAAGAAAAGTGACTATACCTTCGATTGATGGCGCGGTGGTGCAACCTTTCCTGGCGCTGGCCAAATTTACTGTTCACTATCTGTGCAAATGAGTTTGAATACAGGAATAGCATATATTTCATTCCGAAACTGGCCTCATTAGCATATTCAAATAAGCGTTCGGCTACAATACTTCTTTTAATTAATTTTAACCTGGTACCACCTTGTGAATTTTTCTAGAAGACGTCATGAAACTTCCCCTAAGCTGTTCCTTGGACTTAACAATGATACGTGCCATACTGGGCATCCTATCATGATGTGTGATGCACATCGTATTAGGCTTTATTGGATAAGCTCTGGTAGCTTTTGCCATGTTTAGGAGGACTGTCGTTTCAGAGTGTTACCGCTAGAGGTACATAACGTTGAAAACTGCCCCCTCCCAGCTCTTGTGTCCCCCCCCCCCAATAAATTAAAAGGAAAAATCCGGAAAATCTTAGCATTTGTCATTTGCATGTTTTCTGCTATTCACTATCTAAGTAAAGATAGCTAGAATCAGAAAGCCATTTTACATACAGCAGAACAAGAAAACCCTTGTGCCTTTGAAGCAGCAGCCTCTGAGTCTTTCCCCACCCCCACCTTGCTGGGGTGAAGAAGCGGGAGGGGGGGTTACTGGGTGACCTGTACTCAGCATCTGTCCCTTCCTGTGCTGTCTGTCTGAGATCTTCAGTCCAGGAGTCCTTACATTTCCGTGGCTCTAGTATCTGTTTGTATTAATGAACCGTGAGAAAGTTACAATCTTAGCTCCTTAAAACAGTTTCAAAATAGTAAAGGAGATGGGTGCCAGAGATCGGCTCTGTGCTCTCCATGAAGAGAGAATGGGTATTCAAAAGAAATGGTCCCAAAGCCAGCCTTTGCCCTTCCCATCCGCCCAGGCCAGAAACTCATTTCTTTTTCTATTTTTTTATGTTAGTTTCCTGCACGAATAGAAGGGTTTCTGGTTTCTTCCCCCCACACCCTCTTTTGTTTCCCTCCCACCCCATCACCCCCAGCCCAATTCATTTCCAAGATTTCTGACTTTAGGCTTTGTTTCATGACCTACTTAGTTTTGCCAGGTTTCTGTGTAACCATTGGGCTGTAGAAGTCCCATTTCCTGAGTCTCTCATTGTCTTATCTTAGAAGTTCCTCCCCAATATCGACAGATACTGAATTGATAATTTTATGATGATCCAGATATGAAACTTTCACAAGTCTCTCTGTAATTTATAAATGTTCATGGTCTTTCTTGATTGGAAATTATATTATTTTCTCATCAAATTTCTATGCTTAAATTCCTTTATTATAACAGCTACTCTGGCATCTTTTGGTACAAACAAGGCTAATGTTTCTCTCTCTCTCTCTCTCTCTCTCTCTCTCTCTCTCTCTCTCTCTCTCTCTCTCAATTTTGGGTCCCAGTGGCTGTTTGGTGGTCATTCTCCATCCATAGGACTATCCCCCTCCTCTGCTGTGGAGTTGGTGCCCCTTTTCCCACATGTCTGCCCTTCTGCTCTGCCACCTCCTGTTGGGAAAAGCTGGGTAGACAAGAGGATGCCTAATTACAAGGTAAAAGTGCAAGTGATTTAATTAGATAAGTGGATTTTTAATTGATAAGTCACTGAGTATCACCATGTTAACAGAAAACATTTCACATTTTCTAATTGTAATAGATTGTCTATTTGAGTACAGAGAGGGCTCATCCCGGAACCAGAATGACCTGTTCAGAGACAGCAGCAGATAGGGATAATTTTGTCATGACTCAAACACTTGGGTTCTGTTGAAAAAGCAACAATTTCTGGATCAGAATTTTTTCAACTTTAAAATCTACAACCATTGGTCAAAATCCATTCTTAAATATTATAAAATGCAAGTTTCACAATTTGTTTTTTTTCAAGTTTCACATTTTGAAAAGGATTTTTTCTCATGAGTTCTACTTTGTTTTTTCTCCTTTCTGATGGCTTATGAACTCAAGTGTCCTGAATATCATTTAGTTACTTGAATATGAAAGATGGAACAGCACGTTAACTTGTTCTACCATCCAAAAGGGTGATCTCATCAGGTGATTCTTCAGTTTGTCACCTGGCTGTTGCACTGACCTAGCCAGGCTGGTAGTTGAAGCTCAGTCTCAGCTAGAGGTCTTTCTCTGGTGCAGCAATCCCTTTCTTTAAGTTTTAAATTCATACTTGTATGGTTTGTCCAATAGTATAAACACCCACCAGTGGGCCAGTGAACAATAGTATACACCTGTCTATTCCACCAAGTGTTTTGTTTGTGAATGTTTTGTTTGCCTTTCTTTTGGACAGATCTTCTTAAACAATTCCTTTGCTCTGGACTCCACGTGGATATATCCCGAGGGATCAGGACTCTTCCACAGCCATGAAAAACCTCACTTTCTGGCAAACCAAGTAACTCCATCTCTGTCTAGGCCAGCTCCTGCCTCCAGGCCTCTCCCCACTGTGGTATTAGCAGCTCAACCAATACCAGGTCAGTCCCCAGCTAACAGTGACAATGTACCTGTCTGTGTGAGTCATAAGTCAGCTTTGAAAGCAGTGTCGTTTTCACGACACAATTCTCTTATCAAACTCTTTTAGGATGTGTTGCACAGTGTGACTCTAAAAATTTGAGTGCATCTGTTACCATCCTTCAGCTGTAGGGTCAGTTTTGAAGATGAGGAGATAGCAGAGGGATTTGGACAGGAAAATATTGGCCAGGCTGTGTTTTTATAGCCATGTTTTTGGCTGCTGGTTCGTGAGGACAGCAGATGAACCGCTGTCACTAGTTAACAGTGTTGCTTGTCTAGGGTGCTGCATGCAAGGATGCTTATGGGTTTACCGGGCACAGGTGCATGCATAGTTTTTGTGTTTTTTGTGAACTGGGAATTATCAATGAGGGCAATGGTAGAGACGGATTATAAAACACTTTATTTGAAAGACGGGCTTTGTTCTATCTTTGGAATCAAGTGACCCAAGCGAACATTTGTCCTGTAAAATAGCCACCCCTGAAACAATCCCTGGATGAAATATTGCATAATAAACCTGTATTGTAATAGGAGAATAAAATCATCTTATGAATTTTTAAATTGATTTTTTAAAATCACCTTAACATATGATCATATTACAAAAGCAAATGTTGCCGGTGCCAAAATCGTCTTGCAGCCCCTTCCATTATGGAATATTTTATGACTGCAGAATTACATTATCTTCCTGTAATTTCCTACCTACCAAGCTTATCTCAATATGTGTCTCTAAAATTTAGTAATAAGGAGCTGCTCCTGTGGATACCAACACCGGGGTAGGGGATGCATTTACTTTATTCTCTGTTTGGCTGCATATTTATTCTAATTTGCAAGGACTCTTGTTTAGCAATAACTCAGGGAGAACAAGACAACGCATCCTGCAGGCTTTTGCGATTCTTGCCTGAAAAGCGCCTTTGTTTCTTGTCATTGCACATTGTCGATTGATTGAGATCTGACCAAGCATCAGGGGTACTCATGTTTATAACATCGCGTGCCATGATGTTCATGTTCCTATTTGCGTTAATAGTCATGGAAGGTAATTTGATGACACATATCATATATGAGGGCTCCATGACTTTCAGTGACTCTTGGGAGAATGATATTTCTCTCGACGCATAGATGAAGGTGCCCAGATCACCTGCAGGTTTAGTTTTGTAACTACAGGTTTAACAGATCCATCCAGTGAAGTTCCTGCTTTGCAACATGGCAGAAGGACATACGGGCATGTCTGAGAATGCCTCAGTCCTTCCAGGAAGCATGTCCTCTGGACATTCTATGCTCACTGGGAAACCGATAACTTTTCAGGTGGCTTACTCACTGTGACACAGCCCATACCTCACCTCTGGTCACACAGCATTCATGAATTTACCTTCTGGTTTGGGACTAGTAATCCTCAAAGGGTGAAATGATACTTATTTCAAACATAATGTCCTAGCAATCTTTCCCAGCCTTGCCTACCATCAACCACATCTGTGCATTTTATTCTTCCTGGCGTCTCTTTCCTTTCCTTTCCTTTCCTTTCCTTTCCTTTCCTTTCCTTTCCTTTCCTTTCCTTTCCTTTCCTTTCCTTTCCTTTCCTTTCCTTTCCTTTCCTTTCCTTTCCTTTCCTTTCCTTTCCTTTCCTTTCCTTTCCTTTCCTTTCCTTTCCTTTCCTTTCCTTTCCTTTCCTTTCCTTTCCTTTCCTTTCCTTTCCTCTTTCTTTCTTTCTTTCTTTCTTTCTTTCTTTCTTTCTTTCTTTCTTTCTTTCTTTCTTACCTTGCACGTCACCAATGAAGACAACACTTGAAGCGTGGTTTGTCTTGGAGAGAAATGTTGACCTGTCTCCCAAGGTGACTAATAAACAGCTACATCTACTTGAGATGGGAGTTTCTAAATTGCATCCCTAAAATTTGACTTTTTGATGAGTTTCAGAATTCTCAGAAATCATTCACCTTTGAAAAGAATGAATTGAATGTCTCATGGACATACGTGCAAAGGGTTGTTTATGTGTTATGTGTTTGTGTTTTTTTGTGTTTATGTGTTACTAATCGACTCACAAAGCGCTTGGGAGGGGAACCAGAAAAGTTGAAAGGTAGAGTTAACCCCCAAGACAGTTAGAATTGAAAATACATTACTTTAATTAGAAATTATGCATTTATTAAAAGACTTATCTGTAAATTACCAGATATGTTGCTATTAAAACAATTTATTTTATATCTTATGGGTGGATAATTTTGAAAGTTATATTTAATTTTCATTATAATTTATATTATACAAATATACATAATTATGGCCATGGATACTCTTATACAAGAACATGATATAAAATATATCTTTGTAAATATACTACATGACTGACATATATTAATCAACTTTGCTATACATTTTCTCTGTTCTGAATTCAGTGACCTTAGAATCAGATATATTTTATTGATTTTTTTAAAAATTAATCAAAGAAACATAATTAGAATTTCCAGAGAACAGGAAAAGTGAGTCTTGAGCTCTCATTTTAAGCAGTGAGCTCAGACTTCCCTTTCTTGGCTGGATAGTGGTTTTCATGTAAGATTATTCTGGTCAGCCATGCATTGACATTTGAGGAACAGTGGAAGGTCATATACCATGGACTCAAGCAATGCACGCCTAGCAGGCAATTTGAGTAACTGTGCTATTGGCTGCCTTGGTAGAGGTCACTATGGATGGAGTGCTGGGTGAGAAACTCTAAGACTTATATTAATGTCCTATCTTCCTCACTTAAGTTGGCTAAGAGTTAACTGCAAGTTCAGGGGTTCAGATCATGTGAACTCAACTTGCCTGAGCTTGTTGCCTGAAGTCTGATGTACTACAAAGAAGGGTTTCATATTTTAGGTAAACTGGATTCATACACGATTGCTATTCTATTCAGAGCTAGAAGCAGCCTTGGCCGTCTCAAATGCGGGAAGTTATGGTTGAGGTTGGTCTCCTTTCCTTCATTCACCAGGCAAACCATCCGCAAGGAAAGCTGCAGGCCCAGTACCATGACTGCTGGGCTATGCAGTCTAGAGGAGAGATGGGAAACAGTAGTTCACAGTCATGTGACATAGTGACGAATGGTGGGGAACCTCGAGGCAAGGCCTAGAATGCTCTCTCAGGGCAGGAAGAGGAATAGGATGTTAAACCAAGGAGTAGATACAACATGCAAGAAACTACAGACAATTAATTAAGTGAGACTGGACCAGTGTAGGAATCAGTCGGGAGCCTAGACGAAGCAGTAGGTACTAACTAGACTTAGGCTATCTTCAGCCAGACACATCCCTGAGAGCTCACGCTTTGTAATGTTGTCAAATTTTACACTATCTTTCCACTCTGCTGGCTTCACAGTGCCTCTAGGAAAGCAGGGAGTCATCCTGGGAAGCCGAGGTGCATCAGGGGGCCTAGTACCTTTCCAGTGGGTCCAGGACGCAAAGGCATAGAGTCACAGCTGTGGAAAGCAAGGGCTGTGATAATAGCTAAGTGGCTAATAAGGAAATTGTCCCCAATGGTGGTGTTAATGGGTGGCCAAACTGAGAAGCGATCCAAGACTCCTTGGTTCCCAGTGTCAGCAGCTGATTCAGGGTAGGAAGCAGGCAGTAGAGAATGTGTCAGTGGGCAACCCAATCCTTCCGGTCAGGAGCTGGATGCGCTGGCTTCATCTCTCCCTCAGTCCTCTTCCTCCACGGAATATGTTAGTCCCTGGGATGTGGCAGCAGGTCAGGGCATTATTCAGAAATAAAATAGCCGAGACTAAGAGCATCTAGCGGTGGGAAGAGATCATTAATTCACTTGTCACCTGGTAGAGACACACAAAATAAACAGTGCCTTGAGGGAACCTGGAGGTTTGTGTGTCATCTATATAGCATTGGCCATTAGCCTGAGCATTGGAGGTTGTGCTGGGGAAACACAAATGTATACTAGCCAAACCGGTTGTGCCACCCCAACTTCAATGGTGAGTGAGACAGATGGGGAAGAAAATAAAATACCAACTGTGCTGTGAAGAGCATTCTGCTCAGATTCCTTTGATCCCAGAGATGCAGAAGAGGGGCTTTATGCAGGACCTGGTCACCTTTCTGGGTAAAGCAAATTTTAATATAATTTAACAGGCATAAGTACATAAGTAACCACAGAAGATCAGAAAGGGGTGCAATAGGCAGCCAGTAGCCTCTGTGGAGAGACCATCAAAAGAAATGAGAAAGAAGCAAAAGGACCATTCTGAAACATAGCGGTTAAAATCAACAAGGACAAGATGCACCTGAAGACAGTCTGCAAGCATTCTCCAGTATGCAACTGTGTGACTCTGTAAAGCAGCCCATATTCAGAGAAGGCAATGGGCATAGACAATGGCAAAAGGCTCTGACCTCCCATAAACAAATGAGAAGTACAGTGTTCAAAGTGACGAGGAAGGGCTTCTCTGCTCTCCGAGCCCTGATTTATTCATTCCCTTTCTCATTGCTGTGGCCTAATGCCCGAGAAGAAGCAACTTAGCGGGAGGAAGGGTGTGTATCGGGGCTCACAGTTCTGGGGGCAAGGGGTATATTCCATCATGGAGGTGAACACCTGAGCCTCTTAGGGTCATTTCACGTGCAAACCACAGTGAGGACACCATATAAAAGAGTGGAGCCATGGCCATGGCATCCCACCCTGTTAGGTCTGGACTCCGTGTTGGGAACAGTTAAGAGAGTAAGAGGTGAGAAGATGTTGCGTCTCACCGGAAGGTCGTGTTGGAACACAGGTAAGGAAGGACCTTCCTAGAGAAGCGTGGAGTGGGTCCATGTGAAAGTCACTTCTGTCACTTCACTCTGCTCATAGCTAGTTTCACTTCATGTTTCTTGTCTTTTTTTTTTTTTGTCTTTTAGTTCAACACTCAGATTGTGTAAGAGCGCGATATCTGTGTTTCGAAATGAAGCCTGGTGTGTTCTGTGCTGTATATTTTCGATATGATTTTTGGCACTCTGGTTTGTGTTTTCTTGCTATTCTG